GGGGCACCCAGCCCCGGCTTACCCCACCTGCCGCCGGGAGCGGGGTGCAGCGGGGCGGGCACCTTCCCCGACCGACACCGGCACGTCACCATCCCCTTGCCACCACACCAACGCAAGTCATTCCCCAGTGAAATGGCTGATAACCCCCATGGGCAGCCCCAGCACGGGGCATGACATGCACCCCTGCCTGGGGGAGCCCATCCCCACGGTGGCTCCCCCAGGGACATCTGGGCATGGGAAGCCACCCAACCCCACGGTGCTGTGGCACGCCCATCCTGGCGGCCCAGCAACAGTCGTGGCACAAGGGTGGTGATGCCAAAGGTGCTGGGCAAAGGGCTTGGCACCACTACGGCTTCCTAAAAGTTCTGATGGGGCTTTGCCAAGGGAAAACCCTGGAGCAACCCAGCCTGCAGCACCAGAGTGACCCACGCATCAAGAGGCAGTGGTACCTGGTGTCAAAGAGCTGAGAGAAGCAGCTCACTGAAATGTGGCCACAGTTAGTGGGAATGGGTGCTTGAGCATCACCCTTCCTAATGCTCAGCATGTCACCCACTCAGAGGCAACCGTACCAAAGAGCCCTGATGTGCTGTGACATCCTGCTCTGCCTGGCTAAGGGGTGCTTGGAACACCGAGCCTGCCCGAGCGGGTGGAACCTCCGCCACGGCACACACAGCAGTGCTGGGAGGGGAGGGAAGGATGCTCAGCCCAGCCGAGAGTGAAGCCGCCCTCAGCTCCCTGCCTTTCGTTTCTATGCTGAAATGCAATGGAGGAAGAGGCTTTTCCCACCTGATAAAACCTGATCCACCCCTCAGCAAATGTGCAAGTGGGACACACCAGCAATTGGAAAAAAAAATGTTTAAAAAAAAAAAAAAGTAATAAAACCTAAGAAATGTATTAAGCCTGATGGTTCTTTTTGGGGGAAAAAACAAAACAAAACAAAACAAAACAAAACAAAACAATAGTTCTTCAACTAGCTGCTGTTTTTTAACCACAAAGTTTCATTTTATCCCAGCCAGCTCATCTTGCATCGTTGGGCAGAGACCTGCATACACTTGTTGCAGGAGGGAGCGCCCCCCTGCCCTGCCCACAGTCCACTGAGCCCCGAATCAGGTCCCCACCATGGGGGAGGTGAATCCCCTCCCCTCCCATCCCCTCCTCCCCTAAATCAAGCACCGGCTCTTAAGTGCATTAAGCACATCCATGCCCCCGCCGCCCCCAGCCACCTGCGCTCCCCAGCCCCTTGGGGCAGGGGCCACCGTCCCCCCGTGCAGTCCTCAGCCGGCCGGCATCCCCAGAGCACGGGTCTCAGCCCAGGGACACAGGAAAGCAGGTCCCTAAGGCAGATTACAGAAGTTTAGCCGGACACGCGGACCGGCAGACAGGCGGACACTGCCCCGTTGGCCTCCCTGTCCCACCACTTTGCATTTCCAACCTATTTCCCTAATTATTCCTCCACTGCTGGGAGTCATCTCCATCCCTGCCCTCTCCAGCACTGATTTATCTCTCAGCCAGGATAACAGCTCCCCTCACCCCCTTCTCCTCGGGGAATTCAAATTTCGTTCATTTTTCTGCTTTGCCGGATTGATCCAGCCCCCTCTGCCCCACTCTGGATCACTCACAGCAGCGGTGAGAGGGCAAAGGGAGTCACACAGCACCGAGCCCTCACCTTGAGGGAGCATCGTGCTGCTGGGTGAGCTGGAGTGTCCACTAAAAAAAAATCCTCACCAGCATCTTCCTCCCTGCCCACTCTCACCTTGACACATCTTCCAGTAGAGTCTTCATCCCTTCTCTGCCTTGTATCACTGCTTTGTCCCCCTCCATCCTTCCCGCTGTCTATTGCTCACGTTGGTGGCTTTTTGGTCTGTTTTGGGGGTTTTGGTGTTGCTTTTGGGTTTTGTTGGTCACTTTTGGTTTTGGTTTCCCCAGCACACCCTGTTGTCCCAGCATACGAGGAGGAGAGGGTGGTGCAGGTAGGCACAAGCTGCTTGCCCAGCAAACCCCCTTTGTACCACCCAAGATGCTGCCGTGTCCTGGTGGTGCCTGAGGAAGGGGGGTTGTATGTGCTGGGTGTGAAATGCTCCCCCCCCGTGTCCCCCCAGCCTTTTTACTCCTCCCGGAGCTAAAACACAAAGCTATGGGGCGGTGGGGACCAGCCTGCAGAAGGGTGAGTGTCATGATTTTCATCAGGTTGCATTTCTGGGCTGTTTGGGGGTGGCTCTGGCCCCGCACAGAAGCCCTACTCCCTCTTTGGCATTGTCTGACCCCCCTCTCTGGCCCTGCAGCCAGATGAAGACCTGAGCAGCGTGACATGATGATGCAAAACCTGACGAGTTGGGATGGTGCTCCTGCACCTTCCCTGACGATATTAATTAATAATAAAAAACCAGCTAAAACCCAGAGCCTTTGCCAAGACACAGACCCAGGCTCCCCTGGTGTGCCCCAGCCCCGAGCATGCAGGACTCGGGGCTGTTTTGGGCACTGTGTCACTGAGGAGGACACCAGTGCATTGTTCCCAGGTGCAACAGGGGTGTCTCGAGGCAGAACCGGGGTGGCATAAGGAAAAACCACACCTGGTCCATGTCCGGGGGGGGGGTGGGTGAGCACAGCTGTGTCCCCTATCACCAAAGCTTGAGTGGGTTTGGAGGTGCTGGGGAGCTTAGCCGACAGCAGGGCTTTGTGCCACTCATGCAGCAAGTTTGCCAGGTCTCAGCCCAGCTCTCAGAGTCCCCTCATGTAACGAAACCAGCTCCCCCAGCCCGAGAGGGGGGACATCCTCATCGGGCCAAAGCTGCCATAGCCACCGTTTGGCATGGGGCCACCTCCCCTCTGGGCAGCAACAGCCATGGCACCCCACCATTCCCCACTTCTTAACTACCCCAGTAATTACCCATGCCCCCATCCCATGCATCCTTATTCCAGAGGTGGCCTGGAGTGAGGACAAGCACGGCGAGACCCGGGTACTCACCCACAGCCGGAGAAATCCTCTCCTCTCACAGGCAGTGATGGACGGAGTGTTGCTAATTTTAATTGATAATTAATCAATGTTAAACGAACCCCTGGTGATTTTATGGCCCAAGCACAGGCAGAGGAGGGATGCCGGTGAAGAAAGGCTCTTACCCGTGCTGAGGAGGGAAAAGGAAGAGGGGCAAGGCGGGAGGGAGGGAGTGCTGAAGGGGTGGGAAGGTGGCTGGGTGTGCAGGGGGCCGGCCACCGGCCTCGCGGAAAATTAAATTGCACTTTAGGGTAAATTGTATTAGGGAATAGCGGCCACCTCGCGCCAGCCTGCGGCCATTTGGGTAATTAGCCTCGGGGACTCCCCGGCCTGTGGCGGCACTGGGAAGGAAGGGGTAACCCCCATCGGGGAGGACAGCTCGGGGGGCTTGGAACGGGCTCCCCCCCTGGACAGCCCATCCCACCCGTGAGCATGGCCGTGCCAGAGTTTGATGCTCCCCGTCTGCCAGGACACGGGTGGGGACCTGCCCTGAAGTCACGATGCGGGGGGGATGGTGTGGGGAACACTCCCCCAGGCAGCATCGAGCCCTGCTGCACACTCCTGCCTGCACTGCTGCCTGCACAGGCCACTTTGTGCCCCACATTGGGGTTCCCCAGGCACTGGGACACACACACCCTCCCCAGTGCCACAGCCCGGGAGAGCCGGGGCCGGGAGGATTGGGACTGCACCAAACAGGATTACAGAAAGTCTATTTATCGGACTCTTTTTCCTGCGTGCAGGGCAGCTTTAGCTCCCTGGCCCTGTAAACCTTGCCGGCGGGCCTGTCGGGGATGTTAATCTGGGCAGCCCTGCCTGTGGCTTCCCACTAACCCCCTGCTGGGTTTACACAC